GCCTAACCTCGTTAAATTTTGGTGTTCTCTTTATGTCTATTTAATAGCTATTGTCGGGTATAGTTGTTGTTAATTATTGTCCTATTAAAATTATTTGTCTTGGTAGTTCTGTCTAAGGAAAGTGGGTTTTAAGAGGGACCATTGTGACCCCTCCTCTTTCCTGGGAATCTACCTTGGGGTGATTTTTAGTACAATCGTTTTCACACTAGTCACCTAGATAATAGTTTAAAGCTGAATCTATTATTGGTGGAAATTAACATGAATTCCACAACAATTGGTATCAGCGCTCTTGGTTTATTTTATTATGCTCTGTGGTTGCGGCTTAGGCTGATCTTCCACATCAGAAAAAAAATTTCCTTGGGATAATTGACATTCTGCATTGGCAACTATTAAATAGAATTTGTAGCAGAAATGACAGACGCTTCTTCATCTTCAATTTTGGCAAGAAATGTTGTGACAAATGTTAGATTTGCAGTGGAGATTTTTTTATGGCACCGGTCATTTCAGCATGTGGCAAAGTGAGGTTCTAGATGCCCTATTTCAGCAGGGTCTAGACATTGCTATTGAATGAGAGAAACCAGATGATGTTAAGGAGAAAGAATGGAAGAGGATCAATAGAATGGCATGTGGTACTATTCGATCGTGTCTTTCTAGAGAGCAGAAGTATGCATTTTCTAAGGAAACTTCTGCAAGTAAATTATGGAAGGCACTCGTGGAGAAATTTTTAAAGAAAAGCGGTCAGAACAAACTCTACATGAAAAAATGATTGTTCCGCTTCAACTATGTACCAAGTACCACTATGAATGATCACATTACTAGCTTTAATCAGCTGGTGACTGATCTGATGAATATGGACGTGACTTTTGAAGACGAAGATCTGGCTCTAATGTTGATGGGATCACTTCCTGATGAGTTTGAGTATCTTGAAACTACTCTACTTCATGGGAAGATTGATGTGTCTCTCAGTGAAGTAACTGTTGTCTTGTATAGTTATGAATTGAGAAAGAAAGACAAACAAGAAAACACAAGTGTCGAAGCAGAAGCTCTTGTTATTAGAGGTCGTTCGAAGAGTCAGAATAAAGGAATGAGAGGGAGATCGAAGTCAAAGTCCAGATTGAGCAAAGATGAATGCGCCTTTTGTCGAGAAAAATGGCACTTGAAGAAAGAATGTATCAAGCTAAAGAATAAAGGGAAACCTGAAAGGGGGAAGGCTGTCTCAGAATCAAATGTGGTCGAGTATGATGATGCAGATTCAGATTTCGCATTCGCTGCTACGCTATCAACCAGCTGTTCCAGTTCATGGCTATTAGATTTAGCTTGTAACCACCATATGACCCCCAATAGAGAATGGTTCTTTGATTTTAAAGAACTAAAAGGTGGAATTGTCTACACATCAAATAATTCCCCTCTTGACACACTTGGGATTGGTTCAATTCACTTGAGGAATCAGGATGGATCAATCAGAACCTTAACAGGTGTCCATTATATACCAGATTTAATGAGAAATCTCATCTCTATGGGAACCTTAGAGTCAAAAGGTTTAGAAGTGAGGGAAAAAGATGGGATTATGAGGATTATCTCTGGCGCACTGGTGATAATGAAGGGAATCCAGAAAAGAAACAATGTGTATTACTTTCTGGGTAGTACAATTGTTAGGACAGCAGCAGTGGCAGCTTCTACTGATGAACAGGAGTCATAAGCAACCAGGTTATGGCATATGCGCTTGGGTCATGCTGGTGAAAAATCCTTGAAATTGGTTATAGATCAAGGATTATTGAAGGGCTCGGGCTTGCAAATTAGCTTTTTGTGAGCACTGCATCAAAGGGAAGAAAACGAGAGTGAAATTTGGAACAACAATCCACGATACTAAAGGTATTTTGGATTATGTTCATTCAGATGTATGGCGCCTTCCAAGATAACTTTATTGGGAGGACACACTATTATGTAACCTTTGTTGATGATTTTTCCCGGAGAGTTTGGGTGTATACAATAAAGAAAAAGGATGAGGTGGTAGGATTTTTCCTTAAATGGAAAAAGATGGTGGAGACTCAAACAGGTAGAAAAATCAAACGTCTCCGTACAGACAATGGTGGAGAGTACAAAAATGATCCATTTCTAAAAGTCTGTGAAGAAGAAGGTATTGTCAGGCACTTCACTGTCAGATCTACACCACAACAAAATGGGGTGACAGAGCGAATGAACCGGACATTAGTGGAGAAGGTTCGGTGTATGTTGTCTAATGCTGGGTTAGGCAAAGAATTTTGGGCTGAGGCTTTGGTCTATGCTTGTCACCTTGTCAACCACTTACCATCAATTGCTATTGGTGGTAAAACACCATTAGAGAAATGGTTTGGAGTACCTGCTACAGATTATGATTCCTTACATGTGTTTGGTTCCACTGCATACTACCATGTTAAGGAGTCAAAGCTGGATCCAAGAGCAAAGAATGCGATCTTTATGGGGATCACCTATGGTGTGAAAGGCTATCGTCTTTGGTGTCCAAAAACAAAGAAAATAATCTTTAGCAGGGATGTTACCTTTGATGAATCTACCATGTTGAGAAAGGTGACTTCAGAAAAATTGGAGCAGACAGATGGAACTCCCAAACAGGTGGAGTTTGAAGGAAGCAGAATTGACCCAGCCAGTAAAGAAACTGATGTTGACTCTCCTATGGTAGTAGAAGAATCAAATGAAGAAGAGGTTCAGACCCAAGAACCTCCACAGCAACATGAATCAATTGCACTCAGAAAGGGAAAGAGGACCATTAGACAACCTGCTCGTTATGCTTATATGGTCTCTTTTGCATCACCAATTGCAATTGATGACGTTCCTGTCACTTTTGATGAAGCAGTCCAAAGTTTAGAACATAAAAAGTGGAGGATCGCCATGAATGAAGAAATACAATCCCTTCAAAAGAATCAGACGTGGAAACTAGCTAGTCTTCCGAAGGGAAAGAAGGCAATTGGGTGCAAGTGGGTATATGCAAAGAAAGATGGATTTCCTGACAAGAATAATATCCGCTACAAAGAAAGATTGGTGGCTAAAGGCTACGCTCAAACGGAGGGAGAAAATTATAATGAAGTATTTTCTCTAGTTGTAAAACATTCCTCCATCAGAATTTCGTTGACTTTGGTAGCATAGTTGGATTTGGAACTAGTTCAGATGGATGTAAAAACTGCATTTTTACATGGAGACTTGGATGAGGAAATCTACATGACTCAGCCAGATGGATTCAAAGTTGCTAAAAAAGAAGAGATGGTGTATAAATTAGAAAAATTGCTATACGGATTGAAGCAATCTCCAAGGCAGTGGTACAAGCGATTTGACAAGTTTATGATAGGGCAGAAGTACACAAGAAGCAAATATGATCATTGTGTGTATTTACGCAAGCTATAAGACGGATCCTATATATATCTTCTTCTTTATGTTGATGATATGCTGATAGCTTCCAGGAGTTAGATAGAAATTGCGAAACTAAAGACTCAATTGAACAGGGAGTTTGAGATGAAGGATCTTGGTGAAGCAAAGAAGATTCTAGGCATGGAGATATCAAGGGATAAGAAATTGGGGAGGCTTTGTTTGTCTCAGAAAGAATATTTAAGGAAGGTACTAAAACATTTTGGCATGAATGAGAAGTCAAAACCAGTTAGTACACCTCTTGCTCCTCATTTCAAGCTCGGTGCATCCATGTCACCTAAAGATGATGCAGAACGGGAATACATGTCAAAGGTTCCGTATGCAAGTGTTGTTGGTAGCTTAATGTATGCAATAGTGTGTACGAGACCCGATATTTCACAGGCAGTTGGGGTTGTGAGCAGGTATATGCATGATCCTGGAAAGGAGCATTGGCAAGCTGTGAAATGGATTCTGCGGTATATTCTGAACACCGTATATGTTGGTTTGGTCTTTCAGCAGGACAAACAAGATGGTAAGTATGTAGTTGGGTATTGTGATTCAGACTATGCAGGTGATTTGGACAAGCGTCGATCAACTATTGGTTATGTGTTTACATTTGCAAAGGCACCAGTCAGTTGGAAGTCCACCTTACAGTCAACAGTGGCTTTGTCTACTACAGAGGCAGAGTGTATGGAAGTTACAGAGGCTGTGAAGGAGGCAATTTGGCTTCAAGGGTTGCTTGGTGAATTGGGAATGGAATAGAAGCACATCAAAGTGCATTGTGACAGTCAGAGTGTTATTCATTTAGCAAAGAACCAGGTTTACCATGCAAGGATGAAGCACATCGATGTTCGATATCACTTTGTACGAGAGATTCTAGAAGAAGGTGGAGTCATAATCCACAGATTCGGACCACTGAGAATCCTGCTGATATGTTGACAAAAGTGGTAACTGCGGTCAAGTTTAAACATTGTTTAGACTTGGTCAATATTGTTACAAATTGAAAGATTAATTTTCAAACACTACTGAAGATTGGATTTTTTAGAGATGTCTGTGGAATTTGCCAAGGTGGAGATTTGTTGGTTTTTGGGCAAAGTCCCACATTGGTTGTGTATAAGGAGGAGGGAAATTCTTTTGTTATAAATAAAGTCATCTTCCTCCTTAGTTAATCATCCCACAAATATAAGCCTTCTTCACTATTAAAGGTTATTTGTACTCTTTCTCTCTTTGTAATATTTCCTCTATTAGTGAAATATTATTTTAGTAGTGTTCGAGGAGGTAGGCATAATTTTAGCCTAACCTCGTTAAATTTTGGTGTTCTCTTTATGTCTATTTAATAGCTATTGTAGGGTATAGTTGTTGTTAATTATTGTCCTATTAAAATTATTTGTCTTGTTAGTTCTGTCTAAGGAAAGTGGGTTTTAAGAGGAACCATTGTGACCCCTCCTCTTTCCTGGGAATCTACCTTGGGGTGATTTTTAGTACAATCGTTTTCACACTAATCACCTAGATAATAGTTTAAAGGTATATCTGTTATTGGTGGAAATTAACCCGAATTCCACAACATTCTCTTGTATGCGAGCAATCCTTGTCCAAACCTCCTTTTCAAAAACTGTAAGATAAACAGCATCTCACGAAGAAAGAATCAAATAATAATAATTACAGCTTTTTTCCCCCTTTGTTTTCACATATTTATTGTGGTTGTTGAAATTTGAACATCCTATTCATCTTTATCTTCGTCTTCATGGTAGTTGAAAGGTAAGGGCACCGATTTGAATGCACGGTACTTGCCCACGTTGTTCAAATGCTCGTTCTCTAACCGGAAGAAATTCCACATGCCGCGCCGGATGATCTCCAGGCTAGACACTATGGTCACCAACGTTTGTCTATGCAGATCAAACAAGTTGAAATTGAACACCGTCTGCAGCCATGCAAATCTCAGCAAAACATCCAGAATCTGCGTTTTTCAATGAACAAACACTGTTACAACACACAATAAAATGGAATCTCTCGGCGAATATTAAAATTTACGCATTCATTATGCTCACCATGGCACCAAAGTACACGCTTTTGTTAGGGATAAGGAGTTTGTCTCTGAGCCAGCGGTTCTTCGAATGCCGTTTCAGGAGTCCCCAGTCGTGGATAAGGTCCCAATAAGTACCGAAGATTGCCGCTGCAATCGAGAAAACCACAGCTGATATTCCCCAACCTAACCCCTTGTTGAGGCTGTAAGCGGATCTCAAACAGAGGGCGACGATCGTGACGAAATATTTCAGCCCGTTGTACCCTTGTTCGGGGTTCTTCTCTTCGAACAAGCGCCGTAGGCATTGAAGGAGGCGAGACCAGTACGGGATCACAGCGATGATGAAGCTAAAAGTGTTGAATACGGCGTTGGTTTTGCAGCTGTTTTGCCTGTGTCTGAAGTCTCCCCATCCGTAGTAGCAAATATAGAATTCGAGGCTCCGGAATGCTTGCACCTGAAGGCAAAACAAAGGGTCTAAAACGATTATATCGATGACCATTTCAAACATAGTCGGACAGTAAGTTTCAAGTCACAAACCTGGCTAGTTAACTGATCTGCCAGGAAGAAATCGGGTAGTGTGACCTGCAGTAGAGTCGTTAACCAATTAATAAGTCTGATCCGATCATCGCTTTGATCATATAGACCCTTAAGATATCTCTTTCTTACCTTGTAGAGAGGGGCGCAGATACAATGGAACAAACATGTGAGGAAGAAGTAACGACTCGATCGATATAAGATGTTGAATGGCAAGAACAGTATGATAAACACAAGCTGCAGAGCAAAGAAGAACCAAGAAATCAGTAACATTCAATACATACTGGCAAAAGATCAGTTCCTGTCATTAAGAACAAATTCAATAATCTTACCACAACGAGGATCAAAGGGAGGATTTCGGTGAATGCTTGATAATCCATTGTTTTGGGATCCATCTGCATATCAAGATTTGAGAGCACACTAGCTAGTGCCAGTGCTGCAAGACCAAAACTTACAAGCAGAACTTCTCTGTAGCCTAGTTCTGTTCCTTGCTTGAAACCAAATATGAAGGCGTAATTGACCCTATACCGTCTCCAAAAGTATACATTCGCGGCATACATTACCATATGTAGAACGACGAATCCAAATAAACTGCACGTATCAAACAAATGGATTAATAATCGAATTGCAGGGGCATGGATGTGAAGGTTTAGGAGAGTAGAGATGCTAGCCAAGAAACATTTAAAGCCAAAAACTTACCTGTAAAGAGGGAACATGGTTTCCATGTACTGGTTCCTTCCATCTTGACCCAAGATATTTCGGGCACGAATGATCAATATAAGTGCCACTATGAGAGCAAATGTGCATCCAGCAAAGAAACCTGAGAATCGCAAAGCGTTTTATATTTACTGGTGATGGATTGCTTCATGAATTCCCTATATACATGTGAAGTTAAATCGGTATACCAGTAGCGAATGTAATTCTATGTCTTTGTTTCCTAGCTTTTGGTCTTAAAATACTCATCCCTTTGCTGCGGTTCGAGTTTGCGAAATGCTTGATGAACGTAGCTTCAACTCTCTCCATAAGTTTGGTAACCTGCGATTAAACATGCTAATCATCAGTTATCTAAGCCATTCTTGGCACCTTAGGGGCTGCTTTTAATTTATAAGAAAAGCTCACCTCTTCGGAGCTACCTAGGTAAGAATTATCTACCATGTTCATGTATGGCTTTGCAGCGCACCTTGAAGTGATCTGCAAGCATGAAGAACAAAATATTGTTAAAAACCAGAAGCCAATGGGGCATGTATATGAGGGGAAAGTTGATTAAGTGATATGTACACACAAATACATACATACCTTGTCATATTTCTTCATGATTTTTGAGAAGGCTAATGTGTTTAAGAAGCTAAAACTCTTTAGAAGTCGCAGTTTTTGGTAGAATTCAACAAAAGCCCGCTTAAGTTGGTGCTCAACTTTCTTAAGATTTTCCCTATTAAACTTCAGCTCAGTGTGCTTAGGTACGTTTAGAACACCTTTAATGGTTGATCGAGGGGTCGCAAGGGTGTTGTTCATTTTGACACGGTTTAGAATATGTAATGGAGCTGGTTTACGACCCTTAAGTTCATTGGCCACTGCCTTTTGAACTTCAGCTTTGTTTTCTTTATCTTCATCTGAATCTTCATGAACGCTCGGCCCTTCTTCTATAACCTCCATGTGCTCAGCTCTCCCTGCAAATCAACCAAAAACATGTTCATAAAATGTACAGGAACTAAATTTATATGTCGTTGTGCTTTGTGGTGCATGACTTACTACTTGCCCTGGCACCAGCAGGAGTCGAAGCAGCCAAGGCGGCGGTGGAGGAAGCGACCTCGGAGGCGAGACGGGTCATTTCGCCGGACCTGTCTTCCCACGACCATCCCTTAGGATTCTCCACTTTGATTCTGAAGGCAATCAGAGCATCCATTTGCTTGTTCAAGATCTCAGCCTCTTTTGTCACCTCCTCCACCTTGGACCTATAGAACTTATCCACCTTATTGAACTCGTCATCGAGCCTCCTAAAGAACACCAGCTCGTATTCTCCCCCTTCGTCTGCTTGCATAAGGAAAGTCGTTTCGTAACTCCGGGAACCATCACGGTCGACGGAGTTCACCAAGATAGGCCGTTGATCTTCGATGTCCGGTGAGGAAGGAGTGGTGGGCTGCTGGTTGTTGTTGTGCCTTTGGAGCAGACCACTGAAAGCTCTGTACAGTGTCATCTTTCGCTTGAGACCACCAGGGGTGGCCGGCGGTCTCGTCCTTTGCTTGAAGCCATGGATTTCTTTTAAAAGTGTCTTGAGAAAGTCATAATCCATGTAAGCTTCCTGCCATTCCGGCACCATCTGAGATGCGAATTCCTTCCCGAACTTCATGTTTTTGCAGTTGTGGTTATTGCCGGAAGAAACCACAGGAACCGAACAATTTGGTCTTTCAGTATATCTCACTGTTGGAATCAGAGAAAGACAGGCGATAAGTAGATAGCAAGAAGCGGGTAATGTTAAACTTGGTTTCGACATCGGTCGTGTGTGTGTCTATTTAAAGAGGAGAAAACATTGACCCTTTCTCTTTCAGTGTATCTTCCGTACTGCTGTGCTGTTTCCAATGACCTGCTCAATAAATTAAAATACCGCGGTGGGCTACATCTAGTCGCCTTTCTTCGGAGGCTGTAAAAATATACTTTTTTTAATTTAAATATAATTTAATTATTTAAATTTAAATAATAATTTTAATGATAAAAAATATAATTATTTTAGATCTCAAATTGGAATAATTAAATTTGTAATATATTTATAAAAAAAATTACATGTTTATCTTTATTTAACTAAAAGATTTTGAACGGATATTATTTTATAGAAAGTGATAGATAATAATTAATTTGAATATATGATATTGGATAAATACTGAAAGCGAAATTGACCTCAGCTTTGCTGTTTCTTTGTTGCTTCAAGTTATGATATTAGTTAACGTTGGAGGTGAAGAAATCGTTGTTTGTATCTGTTATGTTATCTTATTTGCTGTAAAGCACTGTTTATCAAAGACAAAAATTCAAAGCCTTCGTGTTTGAATTGAATATTCATCGTGCCCATGGCCATGGCCCTCCGTTTTAGCTTTAAATTATTGTTAGTCGTCCCACATACCTAATTGGCCCATTGTTTAGCTCTTCAAGGGGAAATGATCATCCAGCTCAGTGAGTAGAGCATAAGGTTCTTAATCTTGAGATCGTGGGATCGAGTCCCACGGAGGGCATTTCATAATTCGGAGGTCTCTTACGGAAGCTGCTCTCAACCTGATGTTGGGGGTAACCTACTATCTTACCTCCCTCTTACCCCATACATATGGAAAAAAGGGACAGTCATTTATTTTTTAGCTCTTCCAGGAAACTGGTAATATTCTTTAAATGTATTGTTTTTCTTTGAATTTAATGGTAATTATTTTAAAACACTTGTCAAACTTTTTAGGGTTATAGCATGAGAGACACAACTGTGGTGAACTACTGGGTTTTCGTTATAATAAACTAAGCATTAAACTTTTTTTCTTTTTATTATGTGTATAGTATAGGTGCTCACAAGAATCTTAAGTAAATCATACTTGAGTCACACTAAAGTTAGTTATCAATGTGTTATATTTTATGAGTGGATTGGTTTAGTTTTTATAAAAAAATTCTATTATATCAGTGTTTAATTTTGTTCTCTTGATTATTGAAGGATAAATAATTCATATAGTTTAATTTTCTTCAATTTTTTTAAAAAAAATTATTATACTTTTTATTTATTTAACAAAGTACTAAATTTTATTAATTAAAAAAAACTGTGATGAACTGCTGTATTTACCCTTTTAACTAAAAGGGCACCACCAAAAGTTGTCAAACTTTGACAACTATTTTATTGAAAATAGGGATTAGATTTTCTATGATCGAATTAAAAAGGTTATATATTGTTTATAATTTCTTGGTGTGGGATTGAACCCCGAAATAAAATATAGTCAATGCTTGATTTATTATAATTAAAAATAAAATGCTATATTAACTTATTTAGTTAACTTGGTTGAAATATAAAATTTTAATATTTGGTTGAAAATTGAAGACGATATTAAAGTTCATTTGATTATATTGTCTTTGTTAGAACATTTATTTTTAAAATAATTGACTCTTTTAATATTACGTATATTAAAATTTATATATATATATATATACAAATTTTCAAAAAGATCAAAATATAACTCATTGATTAACATTACAAAATATAACTCTAACTACAGGATACATCATCATTAGTTCTTTTATGCAAATAAAAGTAGTTAACTTTATTAAAGAATAAAATATGGTCCCAATTGATAAAAAATTTGTTGTTATTTCTTGAGATTTTAAGTTCGAGTATGAGCATTCATTCTTAAAAGCAAAGATAGTCAAAATACTCGGACCCGATAGTTCTCAACCAGACTCAACATTATAGGGGCGGTTTTTTTTAAAAAAAATTGACGCTCGGGATGGAACGAGACAAGTTATATAGTGTATAATTTTGGGGCAAGGCGAGGCCAGATTTAAGGGGAAATCACCTACCCGATCCGAACGGTCCATATATATATATACATAATGAATTTTTTTTTTATTATTAAAATTTATTATTTAATTATTAAATAAATAAAAATTATTATAAAAATTGTTTAATTAAGACATTCCATATAACCATTGACACAAGAAATTAATCACTTGAGATCGTACAATAACCATACGATGAACATGTTAATAACTGGTTCAAAAAATTTAAACAAAATATAGATACAAATAGATTTAAATGCATCGACAAACAAACCACAATAGAGAATCAAACTAATGAAAGACCATCAATAAACGTAAATCAGAGTCGAACATCGTGAAAAACTATCTTCATACGCAAATCACGTAGCCAAATATAATTCGATGATTAAAAACATAAAAGATCGATAAATTAAAAAATAATCAACATCTCGATCAGTTGAGAAAATGTTAAATCTAATTGTGAGAGAATTAAACGATAGTAGTTAAAAAACCTATAAAGAAAATAAAAAACGTATTAAAAATAGAATTAAAAAATATGTCATAAAATATAAGAAAACATGTCATAAAAATAAAATTATTAATAAATAAAAATTTAAAGAAAAATAAATATATGATATAATAAAGTTAAAAAAATAAGGAACATAAGGTGGAAGGCTTGTTTAGGTTTAATACCTCACTCTTGAGTTTGCTAGTGTTGGAGTGTAGCATCAGGTGTTGTTAAATGTAAAATAAAATTAATTAATTAATTGAAGAACGTGATATCATAAATGGTGTTAATGTGACACATGGGTGCATTGCCCTTAGACACATACTGAAAAAGGAGGATAAAGCAAAGAACTATTTTGACCGAGTAAATCCCACGGCGGAACGGCCTTTTTCTTTTATTATTATTTTACGGTGGGGGCACTTTTTCTCCGGCTAACGGTGGATCAAGTTGGAAAGAAACGTGTTGTGTGCAGAATAAATCAAAGCAGCATTAATTGGTCACATATCCACCAATCAAATTCATCTCAATTTTCTCTTTACCTTAATATAACACCATCCTTTATACTAAGGGCATCTCCAACGCTGCGTCACTGTAGAGTAAATCTCCACTTTAAATGCTTTAGTCCTGCGCTACAGTATCACGATACTCTACAGATTGCTACACATCTAGCTTGTTAATGTAGCAACGATACAAATTTTTTTAATGATTAAATTAGATTAAATTAGATTGAAGTATATTAAATTGTAAGATAAATAAAAATATATTGAAATTAGATAAATAAACATACTAATTTTTTGAAACATAAAAATACAACAAACATAAAAACATATAATTTTTTTAATGATTAAATTAGATTGAAGTAGATTAAATTGCAAGATAGATAAAAATATATTAAAATTAGATAAATAAACATACTAATTTTTTGAAACATAAAAATACAACAAACATAAAAACAGAATTTTTTTAATGATTAAATTAGATTAAAGTAGATTAAATTGCAAGATAGATAAAAATACATTGAAATTAGATAAATAAACATACTAATTTTTTGAAACATTAAAATACAACAAATGTCGAATATGATAATCGATGATGAACGAGATCTTAATTCTCCAATTGTTGAAGGAAGAGATGCACCGCCTCCTCGAATTTGTTGAAGATGATGAGACTCAGTTTCAAGAATTCCTTACCCGATTTAGACAAATCAGATATACAAATGCTCATTTTGCTCTACGAAATGCACTAATTGAACATTTGTGGAATGAATATTCTAATTCGGAGAATTAAAATATATAATTATGTAATTTATGTTTTTCGCATTATTATTATGAATTGTAATTTTCTTATTTATTTGTATTTTCGTAATATTATTTATGAATGTTTTATTTATATTTTTTATCTTGATATTTTTTAGAAATGTTTATGTTTTATTTTATATTTTCAAAATCAATATTATAATAGTTAAATATTGTGAATAAAGTAGAGTTAGTGGTAATGTAGAGATAGCGTTAGAGATTAATTACTATTTCATCTCTAGAGTATAGATAGAGATGCACTAGAGTAGAGATAGAAATGCACTAGAGATGGCCTAAGTACACTTTCATTTTTATCCAAGTATCTTCCATTATTTTCGTATGTTTTTAGTTATTTATGATTTATTATTATGTGTTATTCGTAATTTTAATCATATTTTCTGTTAAAAGACCACTTGAATAGATTATAATACATATTATAAGAATGAAAGTTAATTATACGGATAATCATTTATGTTTATGTTTTGTCTACTTTTGGTCAGTGATTTTAAAATACATAAGTTATGATTACTTCTTTTTTTATTTAATTAAGATATAATCACTTTTGTATTTATTTATTTAAGATATGGCCACTCTAGGTTAACTGTGATTAACAGTTAACAGATCAAGTGACATGATATTTTGGTTCAATCACATATTTGGTCCCTATTATTTATATATTCTATTAATTTAATCATATTTAAAAAATAAAAATAAACTTAACCTCCAATCGAATGATGTCACGTGTTACTGGTGTCATGTACCATGCCATATGTCATCATTGGGTTGAAGGACTAACTTAATTTTAATTTAATATATTTATTTACATGATTACATTTTTGTGTTATTTGATTATTTTATAAAATATTATTTGTTAAAATAATTAGTTGACTTATTTATATATTTTTAACGTTATGATTTATTATATCTTCTCTTTGTTTATTTAGTTAAATTAATCATTGTAAATTGGTTTAAATTAATCATTAATTTTTATCACATAAATATAAAAAGTTTGAATAAAAAAAGATTTTTTTATTGAAACTCGTCACCTCAACTTGACGAGCTCCAAATCACTGTAATAAATGACATAGAATTCTAAATAAACTTCTATATGTCTTATTGGAATAATTAATTAAATTATTTGTCCTATTAGGCCAGAATTTTGTTTTGAAAGACAGTACTGAGATGGTCTAGGTTTTGAAGATCCAATTGCAATTGTTGGCCCATTTTCTTGTGCTTTTTTGAAGTTGGGCTGAGTTGTTTCTTATAATGTCGTGGCTTTCAATATCCGTGTGAACCCTTGGAATCTGATCGAATAAATCAATCCTTAAACAAGTCCAAAAGTCAAATTTAAAAGACAAAATATACTTGAACGCTTAATATAAATATCATAATTAAATTCTTAATCTGAACTCTCAAGCAAAGTGAAGGCTTTATCTTATAAAATAATAAAAACAAGGAGCATTAAATTAAAAAAACCCATAGGCTGAATTAAAAATCGATTTTATTTTTGCAAAAAACCAGTCAAAAGAATAACAGTAAAACTCGGATCTTTGGTATATAAAGACGAGGAAAATTTAGGAGAGAACAGCCCAAGTCCTACTCGCATATAGTTTCCAATTACACATCACCACGTGGCAAAGTAATATTTGTTCTTTATTTTCCCCTTCGATTTCGTTTTACTAAAGGAGGGAAAGAAAAGTAGGAGTCTCGGTTGAAATTCTTAGTAGAGTGGTTGACTATGATTCTTGGATCGGTCATAATGGTGGTTCTACTTCTAGTAGTGGGGATCTTATCCCCTGCGTCCCAGTCATTACGGTTTGAATTGCAATCGGGACATACTAAATGCGTATCCGAAGACATCAAAAGCGATTCTATGACGGTGGGGAAGTATCACGTTGTCAATCCAAACCAAGATCACCCTTTGCCCGATTCTCACAAGCTCACTGTCAGGGTATTTACTGACATATATTATTTTGATTTTTAGGTTTTTTACCCTCTTATTTTATAATTAAATTTTCAAAGTGAAAAATATTGAAATTTGCTTCTTCTTCTTCTTCTTCTTATTGTGGGGGTTGCTCAAATGAATGAAGGTAGCGTTGCCGAAGGGAAACACTTATCACAGGGCGGAAAAAGTGAAGACGGGGCAATTTGCATTCACGGCGGCGGAGGAGGGAGGTTACACGGCGTGCTTCTGGGCGGATGATCATTCACCGCGGATCACGCTGACCGTTGATTTTGACTGGAGAACTGGAGTTCACGCCAAGGACTGGTCTAATATTGCCAGGGAAGGCCACGTCGTGGTAAGTTTTGTAGGCCTTTAAAAATAGAACTTCTATTTGTTTTGGCTTAGGAAAATTTTAGTCCGCACGACGAGCAGTGTAATATTAATTTAATTTATAAAAATTTAAATTATAAATTAGTTAAATATTTAAAGTTAAATAATTTAAAATAAAGAGTAAATTATATCAGTGATCACCTAATTATTGTTCCTTTTTATTTTGACCAATATTTTTAAAATTTTGTCAATCTGGTCACTCAACTATTTAAATACATTCAATTAAGTTACTTGTCTTTAATATTTAATGAAGAAGCTGATATGACATATGAAATATTTGGTATAATTACACATTTGGTCATTGTTACTTATATATTCTATCAATTTGATCCTAACTTTAATAAATTAAAATAAATTTAACCCTCAAATCTTTAATTTTAAAAGATTTCAAAAGTTATGACATATTTTATATTTATAACAAAACAAAATTTTTACTAGAAATTTTATTTATGGTTCTCAAAATCATCTCGTCAATGGTACTATAACCTCTTTTTAGTTTTAAGAAAAATATAGTTGATTTGATTAGCCAATGCATATAAAGTTTGATGGGTAAAATTTTTATCTTACTACTATTTGTAAATGACATTTTACGATAAATTTTTATTCAGTAAAACTAAGAAATTTTTATGCAGTAAATTTCTAATAAAAAATGTGATATATTTCTTTCATATTTGACACAGTATTCCTTTAAAATTTTAAAATTTTAAAATTTCATTTCCTAGCATAAAACTTTATGTCTATCTTTAATAAAAGTTTATACTGATAAGATTCTCGGTGGGTTTAGCCTGAAAAATTTTGCACTAAGGGATTGATCTATATCAAAATGGCGATCAATTTAATTTGTTTTAAATCTATTATCATAAATTATTGTTTGAGTTATTCAATTTTTTAGAAAAATATTTTGTTACAAATTTTGTTTTGTTATAAATATATAATATGTCGTAACTTTAAAATTAAATTAAATTAAAATAAAAAGTTGAATTTTGGGTCATTATACGTGGTACCATATGATTTGAAGGTTAAGTTTATTTTAATTTATTAAAATTAAGACCAAATTGATAAAATATATAAGTGACATTGACCAAATGTGTAATTATACTAAATATTTTAACTGCTTGATTAGCTTCTCTGTTAAATATTAACGATAAGTGGCTTAATTGAATGCATTTAAATAATTAGGTGACATGATTGATAAATTTCAAAAATATTTGTCAACATGAAAATAGACAATAGTTAGATGATCAATGATATATTTTAATCTTTATTTTAACTAATTTATTTTTTATTTTTAATTAATTTATAATTATACGTTAAATATTTTAAAATTTAATTTTTTATAAATTAAATTAATAGTACTCTTAATTAATGTTATTTATCATTGTTCGTTGAGCGAGCGTAGTCAGTTGATGTTGATATTTGCATACCAGTTGCTGTCTTCTTGTTTCTGCATATCTGCAGTCTTGACTTGTAAATTCCATTTCTGGGTAAATTCCAGGTGATGGAACTGGAACTGAACAAGTTGTACGATGTGGTTACCTCCATTGAGGAGGAAATGTTTTATTTGCGTGCAAGGTAAGGAACCATAGTTTTCACTCCAACCAATGCATGCCTGATCTGTATGATTTTTTTTTTTTTTTTGCAGAGAAGAAGAAATGCTGGAACTGAACAAAGCTACAACCTCCAAGATGTTCTGGTTGTCCTTGCTGTCGCTTTTCCTTTGCTTGTCCGTAGCAGGACTACAATTTTGGCACTTGAAAGCCTTCTTTGAGAAAAAGAAGCTCATTTAGATTTTTAGGTTAACACAAAAAGAATTCCCCAGAAAAAACCAACACAGCTTTGGCTACGAGCTGACACATTTTCTCTGCTTGTTTTCTTTTATGTTGTAAGTGGGAAATTCACATTAAGTTTTTTTATTAATGCTTAAGCTATTAACATCATGGACTATAGGTATAGGTACAGGTACTATAGCATGAAATACATTTTGGTTTCTGTAATTTTAGAACGACTTATTCTTATAACAATTGAAAAAGGAAAAAATTAATTTTACTAGATGAATTAAATTAAATAAGATGACGTTAATTTTAAAATATAATGCAACATTAAACATTAAGGTGGTGTTTATTTTTACAGAGGTAAAATGTCTGCAGTCTACGGACCACATCTGCAGTAGGAGAGGTGGACCAAAAGTCTACAATCTGCAAGAAGAAGATTGTTTGTTTTTTAAAGTCTACAGACTGTTAAAATAAACTGAAATATAAATAAATTGATTTTTTTAAACTTAAAAGAGTTTTGCAATATTGAGATTTAAATAATTTTAGTTTTACAATACTGAAATTTAAATAATTCATACAACTACAATAATAATTTTTTTAGAAAAACAAACACCACCTTATTAATTCTATTATAAGTCTCACATAATCACATGAACTATTAGTTTTATAAGTTTTATATAATAAAATTTATAAATGATCATTAAATTATATGATTTTTTAAATATTCAATTATGTAATACTTTTAATTTTTTTTAAATATATATTCATAATTTATTTTTATAATTATATGATATCTTTAGAAAATATTTTTTAATTTATCAAATTATTTTATGATTATTTTTTATTTAATTGTGATTATATTTTAAAATTTTAAAAACATAATTTATAATTTTTTATATTTTAAAATATTAATTATCAAACAATGAAATCATTTTTTATTAAGTATTGTGGTTTAAATACTTACATTTTATATAAAAAGTTTAAATATAACTTAAAAATAACAAATCCAAAAATATATTATATTTAAACTTAAATCAAAATAATTAAAATAAATATAAAATTTTAATAATATATAAAATAATTTATATGATATAAAATTAAATATCTATAATATAATATTAAAAATTAATATTTAATTTATTTGAAAATTAATATTAAAATTAATATCTAATATAATATTAAAAAATTAATATTAATTATTTAAAAAATTATATTAAAATTAAAATCAAATATAATATAGATTTAAATATAAAACCTCTTTGAAGAGGTTAGAAGACGTCTGCACCGCGCAGACCACGCGCCGACGTTAGAAGAGCTTCTGTCTTCTAAAAAACAAACGGTCTGTGAAGCCCAATGTCTGCGAGTGGTCTGCGCGGCGTAGACATAAAAGCTTTGCAAACCTTACACAGTAAAAACAAACACCTAAAATTCCTTAATCATCTATCACAGTTCAGTCCTCCATTGAGGATGACGACTTAATAACCTTCATAAAATTTATGTCTCTGTCGAATGAGATGCTTGACAAAGTGATAAAAGGAGTGAAGTGAATTAAATAATCTGACAGTTTGTTTTGCTATACAATCTGATTACATCGACAAACAACCTTTTACCAAAAAAGGGAATCTGACTATACGTGACCATCGACTAACCAATCAGAAAATAAATGGCGTGATGGTTTTTGTGCGATAACCAAAATGACCGCAAAGGTATGCGAAACACGTACCAAAAACCATGAAGATCGTGCCACAAGAGCAAGAAAACACGTGTCACAAGACTAGAGAAAATCATATCACAAGAACAGAGAATCTTATTAAAAATTAAAAAACTCAAAAAAGATAAAAGACATAATATAAAAAAAAACAGAGAACTATAGACATCGACGGTCGGCAAAACATTAAGATTAGTGCAGCCGCTGGCTAAACAAAAATCAAAGAGAAAGAAAAAGACGATACAAAAATATTGAAAGAAAATTAGGTTGAAATAAATGAGATGCGATTAAGATTTATAGATTGAAAAAAATATCTCCTAAAACAATTTACACAGTCAATATAAGATACCAACATTCTTAGTTCTTTTGTAGATTGTGAACAAACTCATTCATTAATCTTTGATATATCGCAATCGGATTGTAATGGTACGGACTTGAATGCTCGATACTTGCCAACATTGTTCAAATGATCATTTTCCCAACCCGAGTGCAGGGGTTGGATCACTACCCAATAGGCCGAGACCAGGTGCACGGGTCGTAGATGGTTTGGGTTTGGATTTTGGTGGGTTAGCCATAGTGCGACCGTGCATAATTTAATCTTGACACCAAAATTTCACAAGTGGATACCATGTTTAGTTGGCACAACATCCATAATAATATTAAAATAATGTCTAAGACCATAGTTAATGTCATCAAATTTCATCTCAATAATTTAATTTTAATTTGAAATTGATTATATTGTATTTTGTTTTTGGAATGATTTACAATATTTACTACTTTGGCTTAATTTAATATGATACATATGTAAATAAAATCAAGTTGATATCTTTTTCTAATAAGCTTAACATGGGACTTGTACAAATAAATTTTTATACACAGAATCAAAATTAGTTACATATGTGAATTAATTATAATCTCATTAAAAAAATTCTCGAGTATTGAAGGAATCGTTGTTGTTTCTAGAGGTCACGAGTATAAACACCAACGACTGCAACAAAGTGATTGAACGTTCATTGTTAAATAATTTATAGTATTTAGAACATATATTACTTTGCAATCATCTTTAGCTTGATAAAAAAAAAATCCCGAGTTTTTATTTTTTTCACGTAAAATTCATATATTTTTTAAAATAATATTTCACAATAATCTGATTTAAGAAAGATTATTTCATCAAATAAATTTAATGTGTAATTGGCTGGTAGGAATCTTATTTAATGTTATAAATATTTAACACGTTATAAAAAAGGCCATTATTCATATTTGTAGGATTGCAAATGCATGCTAATTACGATGGATTTACTTTATAGCGTTTTTGAGTTCAAGTTGTATACAGTTTAAACATTTTTGTAATTAAAAATTATAATTTATTTAATATTTGGATGATTATTTAAAATAATTGTAATTTAATAATTATAGTCTGAACGAGATAACACCTAAAAGTTTAATGATTAATTATAATTTATTTAAAATGATTTGGATGATTATTTTTTTTCGATTAATTTAAAATAAATATAAAATAATATATGTTTAAAATGATAATCAACACGATCACAGCCTCCAACACTCCTTCGAACACTTGATGGGCTTATTGGTTATTCTCCCCCAACATGGTCGTTAAAACTTCCCTTCATTCGTGTCAACGGCATAATGGACGTCATAAAGCTGCAAAATAACAGCAAGGTAATATAATATGAACCGAAGATCCTCAGCACTGGAATTAGCTGGTGAAACATGTCTTGGAAACAATACAAACATCGTGGCATGCATCATCAAGCACTAACTGTCTCATTCACACAGTCTTAAAACCCACCCTCTGCCTTTCAAGTCGACATGCATTTTACATCTCGCAACAGTGAAGACAGACAATCATCATTCCTTACTGTCTGTCTGTCACCACTGTTGCAGTTTCAGTTTTCTCCCAATCCTCCAGGCTACCGAAGTTGTACTTCAAATTGGGGTTATGATTTGGTTTGTCGTATATAGACTAACTCCAAACAAGATGTATATGATTTACTGTCATCTCGTATACAGATTGATTCTTTTGGTCACAGCAATCACATGTATCTGAGGCAAAAGCAGTGTACTTGATGTGTTTGCCAATTATGTATGCTTCCTTTTGTCCTGGTATATGGCATGATACACAAATATTTTAATAAGAGTTGTAACTGTTGTTGAGGGCCTCTGATGTCACCATTCTACCATCACAAAGTAAAGATTGATATCAAGTTGTCCTGCCTGCACACTACTTATGATTATCGGTTTCAGTTTGATGGTATCATATTATTAAATCACTATATATGCAGATTTGGTCTATAGCGGCATTTTAAAGCGCCACTAAAAATATTCATACAAACTCTGCAAGGTTAGTGGCGTTTTACGTTAAAAAGGCCGCAAACAAGTCAAGTTTTTTAGTGTCGTTTTTGTTACAAACACTTCTAATAATGATGTACATATTGGTGTTTTCCCTAACAAACGCTAATAATTACACATATAGTGGCGCTTTTCCTCGCAAACGCCGCTAACTATGTATTCCATATCACAACTAATTTTCGAAATGTTTTTTCCCATTTTGTATTATCCAAATTAACATGTAACAATATCAATAACAACCTTAAAATGTAATTAAGATTCAAATTAAGTAGAAATATGTAAAATATGAATAAATCAAAATTTACAAAATCTAACTGAATGTAACATAGTTCAACATATTCAATAGAATAAACAAAGTATGAACCTAAGAAATCACTTAAGATGCTCCATGAAACAACAAAACGATGACTCCACCATGCACTTGAGATGCAAGTGCTTCGTGCCAGCTGTTGAATAAGATTGTCCACCATGTGCTTCCAACCTAGATGTGAACCAACTTTGTACCTGAGACACAACAATGAAATTAGTGATAATAGTAGATATCCAAAAGTATTCAACACAAACAAACATAAGCAAAATCGAAAGAAAAGAGAATAATAAAAGCTTTATTCAATATCACCAACATCAACTCAAGCTTTAAACCAAAGCATGCTTGTACTTTTTAATTCGCAGAATCTGTATTACTAAAAACATGAGAAAGGAAAAGGAATATTCTTACTTGAAGAACATGGATTAAATAAACATATCTTAGGCAAAAAGCAAAACTACATGGATACATAGTATGGTAGGATAACGGAAAAGAATATGCTTCAAACAGAAAACAAGTGAGGAGAAAACATAAAACCCAAACCACATAAGTAACAAGAAGACTAAACAATGATGTTTTATACTGGAAGAAATATTTCATTGAAGTTTGGACTCTTATAAAGTGTTTCAAC